TGTCATCACTCTCGTTTTCTTCTGATGTGGAAGTTCCTTTTTCGTTTTAATTTAAACTGTTCAACTCGCGAAAGTTTCGGCCCTACTTGGACATTCATAAGGACTACACATCAAGGACAAAATAACCATTTAAAAATCCCATTACTACGCATTCTATATCATATTTCAATTGTATAAACAAACACGTTATTGATAGTACTCACAATTTACATACTTCGTTTCACAACACCAAATCACCTAAACATTGGGTGTTGCATCCTATATATTTTTCTTCATTATTGTGTGTTTAATCATGCTCTTATTTCATTGACTAAAATTGACCAATATTAATAAAATATATTTGACAATGATCCATTGTAAACGTTAATACAATTAATATGTGTCGTATTTCACTAAGTTATGCTAAATCTATTAACTCAATTGCGCCTATGTACTTTTACTCTGAGTTTCTTAATTATTCAGTTTAGTAGTCTGATTACTAATCTGCGCCCACAAAACAAAAAAGGATGTAGCAGTCTTAACATGGAGAAAACAGTCATGTGTTTAAGAGAGAAACCCGTCAGCACATATGCTGTCCCAGGGTTCAATTTATTCGGTGCTAAATTTAAGTTTCGAGAAAACAAGTGTTATTATTCGACCATTTTACTGAAAGATAACGTGAAAAATGTTTGTGTCATCACTATTTTATTTTATGCTGGTTAATTTGTGAAAAAAAAGGTCCAGATATTTTTTCCTTGAGTCAGTTCATATTATTTCTTCATGTCGAAGAGTTAAACAAAGATGATCTTCATAACATGGACCATTTTCGTGATTAATAACTGTGACGGGAGGTTTTGAAGCGAGTAGCAAAGCCACTTGAAGCTTTCCTAGCTGTTTAGCTAGCAAACCTTGAAGTAGCTTTGCAGTTACTTTAAATACACTAAGTATTGAGAGTGCTTACAAATCTATTTCTAGATGAATATTGAGGTCCGGCCGGCTACCTCTTTCAGCGGAGGCATCGCCGGCTGCGTGTGCTCTCCTTATTAAACGTACTCGGTGAAGACTTCATTCACCGTCAGATGCCGCGACCTTCGAGTTCCGCTGAACGGGCTTCTCCTCAGAGGCACCCGCGCCGCCCTTCATTAGAGGCGAAAAGCGCTGTAGAGCAGAACGGAGAGGATCGCCCCCACAATGCACCTCTTCCACGCGGCCTTCGCGCCCCAAAGCGCCCGGCGGAGCGTGAGGGCGGGGCCTCGCCCTCGCCCTCGCCCACGCCCACGCCCGCTCCCGGCGCGCGCCCACGGCCGGCTCCCGAACTACCCCCTGCCCTTTGTTCGCCCCCCCCCTCCGTTGACCACCAGCCACAGTCCCTACCCACAGCTGTTTTTTCTTCCTCGCTACCGCTACTGCCGCTGAGAGAAAATAATGTAATGCTGCGCGAAAAAACAGCGCATTTTTGGCAGAAAATACTCTCTATTAGAGACCCAAGATAACGAAGAAGTGCATAAATCCAGATGCTAAATTTAGAAGGAAAAAATCCTCTAATACATGGTGTAGCCAGAATCCATGTTTGTGGCTCCTTGATACCGAAATATTGATTCACGGCGAAATGTATGTCTGTCCGACCGACTGTCTGTCTCTCTGAGAACAACGCTGGCGGCTAAACTGTTCAGCCGATTTTCTCTTAAATTGATATTCAGCATTTAATCTGGCTGGTGTCGTGGCCCCTTGAATTTGAAACCGATATTTTAATTTTGGGTGTACTTTACATGCAACACCTGAATAGTTTTCCAAATTTTAAAACAAATGGCTCCATTGTTTTTTTTTTATTAAATTTTGTTGTTGGATAGTGTGAATAACGTTTAAGTGGTACAGGTCTCACGTTCGTTGAAAACCTTGAGTTTTTGAAAATTTCAAAAGGTCAAAATTTTTTCAGTCTTCCTACAAATAAAATATTAAAGATAGAGGCTTTTCCCCTTACTAAAAACTGTTCCTTAAGGATAGATTTTGAAATAAAGTAGTGTATAATTTTTAAACAATTAAGTGCTTTTCGCGAAATTTTGCTTCAAAATACGGGCGAGTAAGTACCTGCTGTTTTAGCACCACTCGTTTTTTACCCGTAAAGGTGGTTACTACCACCTTGTGGGCTTATACCGACTGCATCCCATGGACAACTTTTCCTAAGCTGTTTTCCTACCACTCCAAAACGTCACAGCCCCACTGCATCCCGGTAGGTTTCCTCCTTAAGATTGATTTCTTACGTTTACTGTGAGATGCTTAGTATTACATTGATCGATTGTAATTTATCCAATTCTGTTTTCAAGAAACATTTGCATACCTTTTAGAGCACTGCCAACGTTGAGAACCACCGCTTAAAGATCGGTGGAATCAAAACTTGAAACCTGTCTGAAGCATCTTGTTCCATTGCAGACTTAACATATATAATTCCGAAGACTCTCTTAGGTTTACTTGTATTTGAGGTTTTCTCTGGACTGGTGCGAGAACATCTAATTGCATTACTTACGAATAGGAACATATCAAAATTGTTTACTCCGTCCTATATATTGGATGAATGAAAGGGGATGCAGTCGGGCTCTGCCTTCTCAGGTAATGCAATGTGAAAGGAAATAGGACAACTGATCGCGGGATGCAGTCGGACGATTCCTCATCAAACAGCGCGCGGTGTCATTATTTTTTACCTGTGAAGGCGAGAGATTATTTTTTCAAAGGGACATTTACAGTTTACTACTGTGGAGCTTTAGTAGTTAGAGGGAGATCTTCAACATGCTGGCTAAAACTACTTAGTTCTAGCTAGTGAACTGTGCAAACAGCTACAAAACAAACCAGAAAATGAGCAAACGTAAACTAATCGAGGAATTAAATGAACTGGAATTAATTTTTTTTCAATTGCACTTCGACCTGTAGAATTCTATTTTCTCCCTTTTTTCTTTTGTGCTTTCTCTTTTTTCTATTCTCCTCTTTTTTTAACAGTGTACGATGTACCTACATCAAACACGAAATACACATGAAGAATGTCAAACCTTGTTGTAGTTGAAAATAAATCAAATCATACCCCGAAAATATTCGAGAGAATAATGGGAGTATTATAATAATATTCGTTCTACTCGTGATGCTGATAATGCTGAAAGAATGATCTGAAAATCTACAAAACACTTCCTATTCGTTTCTGCATAATTTATTTTCAAGGTACAGTAATGTGCATTGTCATCCTACGTGAACGAGAATTTCTCCCTATAAAGTTTCTTTCTCTCTCTCGCACACACATTCACACACTCATATCACACATACATACCCATACACTCAGTCAATCACATACCCGCATATACACACTTATTCACTTTTTCGAGTCAAAAGTCTTTTGAGTCAAGAGACACGAGAAAGCCTTTCAATAGCTGCACTATCCATCTTGCGTGGTTTTCCAGCAAAGACAACGTCCCATGAAACGCTTTGAGAACCGAACTAAAGACCGGGAATCGTTGGTCCGAGCGCATCCCGTCAAATCCGCACTGCGCTGCGTGATGGCCAGGCGGGCGCGGCGCTCCGCGCTGGGCACTGGGTGGTGGGCGCGGGGCGGGCGGCAACCGTAGCCGCCACGATTGCTCTATTAGAGGAACCGGATTGGGCCCGGGGAAGCGGCGGACCCGGGCGGGGGGGCAGCGGGGGGACGCGGGGGGCGGATTGCGCGGCCCTCCCAGCACGGACCCCGTGCGCCGCCGCCGCCGATTGAAGACGTCGCTAAACCCATTGCTCTTTCCCCTCTCCTTCAGCAGCGGTACCCAAGCGTGTTGATAGTGGGTGGGGAGCAACGCGAGGCGAAAATGGTGGTTGTGTATTGTTGGCACCCGTGTAGCCGACCTATTGCTGGCACCCTTGTATCCGACCGGGATCACGCATATTTATGAAATGGCTGATTCCGGCTCATCCAGAATTGTGGGGCTCTCCAGAATGATTTTGTGAAGTTTAGTAAGGCGTGTAGTAGATTTCGTTGGAAGATTTTAATTGGAATGTGAAGGGTATGGTTTACCCGTGGCACGAATTAGGAAGACAGGATTTTGTATTGTCAAGCAAGATATGCTTTTTGAGATAGCGCGTCTGTACTTGTGGGTAGTATTCATTATGATGTATTTGATTTCTTTGTGTGAAATAGCGTACAAATGACAACAGGTCTTTATTCAGCGTGGATTCTTTCTAGAAAATTTCGTATGGAAATCAAAGCATGCCGACTTTCAAACTTACGTCCAATTATTGTGGTTTCGTAAAATTTCTTCCACGGGTAAACAAACGTATCCACAAATTTCGCTCCCAGCTGCTTCTGCCGCGAAACCATGTTTAGTGAGGGCCCTGCTCGCAGCGCGTGTTTCTTCGGATAAACATTTCCGGGTTACGAAAATGCTCCCAGATTGCTTGGTCGAGTGTATTGCTTCGCGATGGCACCGCCCCCCATTACCCTCGCTGTTCAATTACCCACCTGTCGCCAGACCCATTCTCCCACCCACCCCTCCCCTTCCCGCCGTCCACACAGACGCAGTCACTGCTGCATCGCGATGCTTTCACCATCACCGCCCAACCCTATCGTCACCTCGAATGCCGGCTCGCTCCTGTCCCCGCCTGCTTCTGCGATCACCTCGAATCTGTAGCGCCTGATTGCCTGGTCTCCCTGTTCCTAAACTGGTTGCCACCGGCGGACCCGCCAGCACCCCGCCGACCACCAAGCCACCGGCCCCACACGCCTCCGCCCACACCACTTCGCCTACCTCCTCCTCGCCCCACACCGCCTTCTCCACAATGCCTCCTCCCACAATTGCTCCTCCACAATGCCTCCTCCACAACGCTTCCTCCAACAATGCCTCCGCCACAACGCTTTCCTCTCACACCCCTCCCCAAAAACCACCGCCTTCCCTCCCAACACCACCTCCTCCCACTCCCCTCCTCACCGCCCCACCGTGTCCTTCCCACACCGCCCCCTTCCACGTTCGTGAACTTGACCGCGACCCCCCCAGCAACCACCAAGTTGCCAACCCGCGCCACTGCCTCCACGCTTGCCGCCACCGCCGCCCCCACCCGCACCTCCGCGCCACCTGCGGGCGTCGGCCCCGCGCCGCCGGTTAATATATGTCATAAGCAGCGCGGCGGGGCGCGCGTGGCGGCGCGGCTGCGGTGGGGGCGGCAGCGCGCGGGTGCGGCGGGGCCCGCTGCGCCCGCTCCCCGGCCGCAGCGGGCGCGCAGCATAGCGGCCCCGTCCGTGGCGGCGGCGGTGGCGGCGGCGGCGGCGCCGGGCGCGGGCGCGGAGAGGGGGCGCGGGCGCCGCGTGGTGAGGGTCGCGCGCGAGGGAGGGGGAGGCAATGGCGGGCCAATACGGGCGAGCCCATTTTGCATTGTTTAGTTGAGTTGTAAACTCGGCTGTTCAACCGAGCGGCCGCGCGGGACCCCGCGGCGCCGCCAGCGGCGCACGGAGCACGCAGCCAGCAGTGCGCGTGCAGTGGATGCGTGTGTGTGTGTCTGTGTCGCGAGTCGCGTGCGTCGGGGACGCGACCAGCGCTCGAGGGAGGAGGAGGAGGAGAAGAAGAAACAACAGTGGTGGGAGGCGAGAGGGAAGGGCAGCGGGAGGGAGCGCCCCGCACCCGCCGTCGCCGCCGCCGGGCCGCGGCCCGTGCAACTTGGAGGCCCTCCTAATCCGCCTGGAACCCGAACTGATTTCGCCCACGCACCACACGCGCCCGACGGCCAGCGTCCGCGCACGTGTCGGCTCCGAATGTCTCTATCGGCGGGCGCCTGCGCGCGCCCGCCCGCCCGCCCGGGCCACCGCCGCCGACGCCTGTCGACGCACTCGCTCCGCTAAGCGCCGCCCCCCGCCACGTGTTTGTGGGTTGTGTGTGTTTTGTGCGCGATGCCCGAGAAAGAGCCGGTCGGCGTTCTACAAGCGCCGGGCGCCCTGTGCGGCAGGCCTCCGCTGCAGTTCCGTCCCGCGCTTTCGCGGCGCTTCCACGCGCCGCTGCCGTGACCAGCGCACCCACGAGGCCGCTACGTGTGGGACCGGCGTCGGGGCGCGTTCGGCCACCGGCGCCCCCGGCCGGCGCCTTCCACCCGCCGGCCGCCGCCGCGGCCGCCGCCGCCGCCGCGGCCGCCGCCGCCGCCGCAGCCGCCGCCGCATCCCACGGGTGAGTGATCGCTCTGCTACTTGCATGCGCCTTTTGGCCTTTGGGGGTGACATGTCCACTCTCAGATCCCTGCATGACCACTTAAAAAAAGGTTAACATCGGTCCGATGTAGCGGATTATTCGTAGTGATCAACAGTTAGGTTAGGTTGCGTCAGGAGAAACTGATATCAACAATTATGCTACGAAAGATCGAGATGTAAATTCAGTATTATAGATTTCATCAAGCAAATTATCCAACCTGACGCCAGTATGTTTACCAAATTCTGAACACTGTAAATACACTCTATAAATGATAAAATTCAGTATTGTATTTTATTAAAAATCAAACTTTCAAATGCATTTGGCTGCTATGCTATATTTTGCCAGCTGTTTCCGAAATGTGTTATAGGGAGGTGCATGTAAATAGCACCGGCCCAGTACGATCCATTGCTAAGCTTTTGGAAGTAAATAAAAGACCCTCTGATTAACTACATTCAATAAATTATAGCTATGACATGTCGTTCAATATGCCGTGCAATCAGGAATTGTAGAAATATCATGAAATGTAAAATTTCTCAACAAAAGTATAGCGAATAACGGGAATTGTTTCTTTCTTCGTTGTATGTTGTCGATAAACACTTGTTTATATTGGTAGTTATTTTGTCTGGGACTTATTAGTAAAATAGGCTGACATTTGAAGCGACGTTTTGTAGTAGGTCCTCCCAAGACGTTTAAATTATTTGTTGTGCTAAACAGCTTTTTGCAAAACAAGAAAAAACGTCGTCGAATTGAACCACACAATGTATGTATCCAGAAATTGAATTTTCTTGCCAAGACCTCTGTCAAAGAAACCAAAGAATATTATTGAAGACTGAATCTGAGGATATTAAAACATTTCACTTGTGAATTTACGTATCGTGCTTCTTAAACATTTGACATTTTACAGAAAGCCTTGTAATAGGGGGAGCAGAGGGGTCGTAGCTCCCCTGACAATTTTGAAAGAAGTCCCGGAGCCTTTTGTAATAAAACATGTTATTGCCGTAAATATTTTAAATCTCTGATAAAAATAAAGAATAGAATGTATTGATACATTTTAAGCTTCACAGTGAAGACAAATGCATGCGCATGTTATTCTACCGATGTACTGCTACTTGTTTGAGAAAGTGTTATTCCTAAAGGATATATATTTTGAAACATTCCGGTGTTTTACTTGGTTGCAAAAATCGATACTTTTTGTGTTGTAGTTATTAAAGTTTTGAATCTACCCTTCAAAAATTTAAACTCGGAAAATCTCACAGAAACCACTAAAAACTCGTCAAAAAATCTTAGCCGGTTGAAAACTAATACAACGCTGAAGAGCATACGAAACTATCTGAAAAAACGCCTCCATGTCAGACCATTCCTTCTAAAACCACATTAAAATGTATTTCAAAAATTCAAATGCCTGTGAATGTATGAGTGCTACAGTGTTTGAGTTCTCTGTAACTAAATTTATTACCTTTTAAAGTTAATTCCGTCGGGTCAGTACTAACTTGTAGAGAATATACGAAGTACAATAGGACCTCTGTACTGAGAACATCCTTTGTTAAATCCTCAAATGGCGTTCATTCTTCATTTTCAAAAAATCTCTCCTTAAAATCATGACTTTTTAAAGGAAATAGACCAGAGCCACTATTTTAAATTCGGTCGTATTGTCGTGTCGTACATTTATGTGTTGACCATATTTCGGTTATTTTTTCTTTGCGTGTTTACTTCGAGTTATGCCATGAACTTCGTGCTCTTCACATGCTGTTTGATATGACAGATGATTCGTTTTCATTTCCCTCACCTGTGTTGTTGTATTTATTACAATAGTTCACTTTATACTCCGAAGAAATTACTTAGAATACATATGATCCTCTCGAATAGTATGACGTGCGTGACATTGTTTATAGTTTTAATAAAGGTTGTTAATGTTGATTTTTAAGAGTTTTAGGATGAATGCCAATCTTGAAATCCTCATTACAAATTTTTGGTGGAATGCATAAACTCACAATAGTGTACTTGAACTTGGAAGACAAAATGTGAACAAACACGAAATATCCATCGGTTATTAAGCGTGCCGAGTTACAAAAGTGCTTTTACAAATTTTACAATCCATTTTCCTATCTTATGCAGTCTTTTAATGTTGTGCATTGGATGTGTTTCATGCCATGTTTATTTAGTTATTTTTTTGTTTTTAGAATTTAAATTTTAATAATTGAGCTTTTCAATTAAGATGCCTCAGTGATATTCATAAACAAACCGTTTCGCAGCACAACAATATTACTAGCATATATTTTTGATATCTTGTAAAAGTTCACGATTTATGAAGAATTACAGTTGTTTTCCCTGTTTTTATGAAAATGAGTTGTATAAAATGACCTTCTGCAATTTATGTATACAGCAGTTTCCACCTCATAACCACCTCACTTTGCGTTCTGTCGCATTTCTAAGTGAGCCCATTTTGCGATTCCTACCAGTGTTTGTCACCTTATTTTTGTCGTGAAAGTATTCCAAGAAATCACTACAATGTATTGTACTCAAATATTTCGTTCGTACATTTCCCCTTTTCTTGTGTGTTTGTCTTGTCGTAGCTATTATAGTTGTGTACTTGGGAATGGGTAGTTTTCTGATGATATTTCTTAGAAAGAAAAATATAAATTTGCTGAGAAAAGCACTTCTAGTAGAATTGTAAATCATAAATTGATATTTAGCTGAAATGATTTTAAAACTAAAAGTTATGTAATTGCGGAATACATTGCAAATGAATAGAATACTGTATGAATGTGCAGTACAAAAGAATAATGTATGAAAAATATAATAATAATAAGAATAATAATAATAATAATCGTAATAATAATATAATATTATGAATGAATGTTATGTATGAAACCTGTAATGTAATGGACTCCCAAGACAATTTTTTTAAATAACTCCCGAACCGAACTGACTATCACGCATTTGTAAATTTAGTCATCTCAAGATGACGTGAAATAAATTTTCTTTATATTAGTCTCAATATGGAAGCAACGGTATACGAAAACATTTCAATCTGTGCTTGTTTTCTCGTTGTTAGTAACTCTTTCAAATGCATTGAATCAAATGCCTTGAAGCAAATGCATCAAATGCCTTGCACACGTGTAGAGTAGTGATCATCCAGTACGAGTAAATATATTTAAAAATATTTAACCACTTGAAGGGAAGATCAATAATCAATAAACTCAGTAGTTTGGTTTCAGCTATTCTTTCATATAACTATTAATCGTGATCTCTGTCTGAGGTACAACTGTTCAATGATTTAATTCACGATGCCAGGGACATACCCGCCAATGAATCACATCGCTCTGCTTCCGAATTGAAGATATTTACGATATTATTCAAGATATTATATTTATGATATCTATTCATTTTCAGTATGATGAGAAAAGTAAATTACATTTTTCTTAGTGCTTGATTATATTTGAATAATAATTTTGTAGCAGTTTTGGTTGTATATTGAAATACCTTTCGGAGTCAACCCAGTTTTGAAAACACAGGAATGCTCTTAAAGTTTGTAAACGCTTTTAATTTAAAATTCTCCCTACTCACCCGATTCAATCTACTTTTATGTGAAAAGCGATTTTTTGACAGGAACACATCTTTATTGGAGAGAAAGGAATATTTTCCTATGAAACACTTGTCTTTCTTTCCTTCTCTGGAATCAGCCTTATTGCTTTGTAACTGCAATGTGAGGAGTATGTTTAGCATGTCATTTATAATATATAAATATTATTTCCCCTTACCTCGATTAGAACGGCAATGATCGACGAGAATGTTAACTTCAGTGTGTGCATAACCGTTGAAATTCAACAACTTAATACATTTAACCCGAGCTTCCACGCAAATCGTCTAGAGCATGCGTTCTCAATCTTTTTTCGTCCACGGCTCCCCTGGCCTAAACGAAACTTCCCGTGGCTCCCCTAGTAACAATTCTTACTGTAATTATTAAAATGGTATAAACACATCTTGCTAATTATTTCACTTTGATATTTATATTTTAGTTAATCAAAGGTCGTTGCAAAAGAAAATTTCACTACTCTGCCATTGCTCTCTGCGTACTCCGAATCCCCGTTGCCCGCGCTCGGCTCGACTCGTCTTGTGCCGTCTGGCTGATATTGGAAACATATTTGGCATCCGTTCCTCCCCCATTCTACTGATATGCCAATACCACTTTATCTGTTAGTATTCAACGTGATAGTCTTTCCTGGCGTCTCTTTCTCTTGTTTCTTCACTGGCTGAATTCTTCTTGAAACGGATGTTCAGTTCCGTGTTCATGTCCACGCTTGTTATATTTCTCAGTCCGTTTTTTCGTCATATTTTCAAAATCTTCTTCGCAGTTCTTCATGATTTTAAACATATATATTGTAATGTGTGATATCGAAGTAGACGGCATAGGTTACGCCGCTTAGGCGAGACGTACAGTACAGATCCTTTTCAAGTAGTCTTCCTGAGTATGTTACATTATAAGGATATTATGATAAAAGAAAATTGAAATGTTGAACCTTGTTTCATGATGAACCATGGTTGTTTTTAATTTGTTGCAAACGTTTTGCCAAATCCATCGTCGGCTGAATATTGAAAATGAGCATCACTGACCGAACTCGCGTTTGGGGGTCTTGTTCGTTGGATTGAGTCGTGGCGC